TTTCACTATTATTCAATTAAAAATATTGTCAACTGTAAATATTATGATTTTCTATCCATGGATTATTTATAAGCATGTTTCTTAATTTCCTACTAATTAGGGATTATCATATTATTTTCTTCCAGATTCCTATGTTATTTCAAGACTAGAGAGACAATTCTGTATATCTTTTAATCCTCTGAGATTAGATGAGCTTGACTTTTGGGTCTACGACATGGAACAATTGGAGATGTTTTGCATGAACATGAAAGTATAATCTTCAGTTGCTTTGTGAAATATTTGAGAAACTACCACTCAGAAAAACAAAACAAAACAAAACAATTTTCAATTTTTCTAATGTTTAATGTATTCCCTAATTTATCAATGAAAGTGTTAAATCTCATATTATTGCTGCTGATTTTTCCATTTCTCTTGAATTAATAAGGTTTTTCCTCATATATTTAGTGAGATCTTTATAGGAGTAATTTCAAGTTGCTACATATACTTGTAAAATACTCTAATGTCCTACAACAATTTTGCATTGATATTTAATTTGTAAGATATTGGTCCATTTTCATAAGGTATTTTTTTGTTCATTTGTATAACTTTTCCCACATTTTTACTTTCAAATTTTCTTTCTTTATTTTTTTTGAAGTTTTTATTTTTATTTTTTTTTTATTTTTTTTATTGGTTGTTCAAAACATTATAAAGCTCTTGACATATCATATTTCATACATTAGATTCAAGTTGGTTATGAACTGCCAATTTTACCCCAAATACAGATTGCAGAATCACATCGGTTACACATCCACATTTTTACATAATGCCCTATTAGTAACTGTTGTATTCTGCTACCTTTCCTATCCTCTACCATCCCCCCTCCCTCCCCTCCCATCTTCTCTCTCTACCCCATCCACTGTAATTCATATCTCTCCTTGTTTATTTTCCCATTCCCCTCACAACCTCTTATATGTAATTTTGTATAACAATGAGGGTCTCCCTCCATTACCATGCAATTTCCCTTTTCTCTCCCTTTCCATCCCACCTCATGTATCTGTTTAATGTTAATCTTTTCTTCCTGCTCTTCCTCCCTGCTTTGTTCTTAGTTGCTCTCATTATATCAAAGAAGACATTTGGTATTTGTTTTTTAGGGATTGGCTAGCTTCACTAAGCATAATCTGCTCTAGTGCCATCCATTTCCCTGCAAATTCTATGATTTTGTCATTTTTTAGTGCTGCGTAATACTCCATGGTGTATAAATGCCACATTTTTTTTATCCATTCATCTATTGAAGGGCATCTGGGTTGGTTCCACAGTCTAGCAATTGTGAATTGTGCTGCTATGAACATCGTTGTAGCAGTATCCCTGTAGTACGCTCTTTCAAGGTCTTCAGGGAAAAGTCCAAGAAGGGCAATAGCTGGGTCAAACGGTGGTTCCATTCCCAGCTTTCTCAGGAATCTCCATACTGCTTTCCAGATTGGCCACACCAGTTTGCAGTCCCACCAGCAATGTACAAGAGTACCCTTTTCCCCACATCCTCGCCAGCACTTGTTGTTGTTTGACTTCATAATGGCTGCCAATCTTACTGGAGTGAGATGGTATCTTAGGGTGGTTTTGATTTGCATTTCTCTGACTGCTAGAGATGGTGAGCATTTTTTCATGTACTTGTTGATTGATTGTATGTCCTCCTCTGAGAAGTGTCTGTTCAGGTCTTTGGCCCATTTGTTGATTGGGTTATTTGTTTTCTTATTGTTTAATTTTTTGAGTTCTTTGTATACTCTGGATATTAGGGCTCTATCTGAAGTGTGAGGAGTAAAAATTTGTTCCCAAGATGTAGGCTCCCTATTTACCTCTCTTATTGTTTCTCTTGCTGAGAAAAAACTTTTCAGTTTAAGTAAGTCCCATTTGTTGATTTTTGTTATCAACTTTTGTGCTATGGGTGTCCTATTAAGGAATTTGGAGCCCGACCCTACAATATGTAGATCGGAGCCAACTTTTTCTTCTATCAGATGCAGAGTCTCTGATTTGATATCTAGCTCCTTGATCCACTTTGAGTTAACTTTTGTGCATGGCGAGAGGAGGGGATTCAGTTTCATTTTGTTGCATATGGATTTCCAGTTTTCCCAGCACCATTTGTTGAAGATGCTATCCTCCCTCCTTTGCATGCTTTTAGCTCCTTTATCAAATATAAGATAGTTGTAGCTTTGTGGATTAGTCTCTGTGTCCTCTATTCTGTACCATTGGTCCACCCGCCTGTTTTGGTACCAGTACCATGCTGTTTTTGTTACTATTGCTCTGTAATATAGTTTTAAGTCTGGTATCGCTATACCGCCTGATTCGCACTTCCTGCTTAGAATTGCTTTTGCTATTCTTGGTCTTTTATTTTTCCATATGAATTTCATGATTGCTTTATCCATTTCTACAAGAAATGCCATTGGGATTTTGATTGGCATTGCATTAAACCTATAGAGAACTTTTGGTAATATCGCCATTTTGATGATGTTAGTTCTGCCTATCCATGAACAGGGTACATTTTTCCATCTTCTAAGATCTTCTTCTACTTCTCTTTTTAGGGTTTTGTAGTTTTCATTATATAAATCTTTCGCCTCTTTTGTTAGGTTGATTCCCAAGTATTTTATTTTTTTTGAGGATATTGTGAATGGAGTGTTTTTCCTCATTTCCATTTCAGAAATTTTGTCACTGATATACAGAAATGCCTTTGATTTATGCGTGTTGATTTTATATCCTGCCACTTTGCTGAATTCATTTATTAGTTCTAGTAGTTTTTTTGTAGACCCTTTTGGGTCTGCTAGGTATAGAATCATGTCATCTGCAAATAGTGATAATTTAAGTTCTTCCTTTCCTATTTTTATGCCTTTAATTTCTTTCATCTGTCTAATTGCTCTGGCCAGTGTTTCGAGAACTATATTGAATAGAAGTGGTGATAGAGGGCATCCCTGTCTTGTTCCAGATTTTAGGGGGAATGTCTTCAATTTTTCTCCATTGAGAATGATGCTAGCCTGGGGCTTAGCATAGATAGCTTTTACAATGTCGAGGTAAGTTCCTATTATCCCTAGTTTTTCTAATGTTTTGAACATAAAGGGATGCTGTACTTTGTCAAATGCTTTTTCTGCGTCTATTGAGATGATCATATGGTTCTTATTTTTAAGTCTATTGATGTGGTGAATAACATTTATTGATTTCCGTATATTGAACCATCCTTGCATCCCAGGGATGAATCCTACTTGATCATGGTGCACAATTTTTTTGATGTGCCTTTGTATCCGATTCGCCAGAATTTTATTGAGGATTTTTGCATCTAGGTTCATCAGAGATATTGGTCTGTAGTTTTCTTTCTTTGAGATGTCTTTGTCTGGTTTCGGAATCAGGGTGATGTTGGCCTCATAGAATGAATTTGGAAGAGCTCCTTCTTTTTCTATTTCCTGAAATAACTTGAAAAGTATTGGTATTAATTCTTCCTTAAAGGTTTTGTAAAACTCCGCTGTATACCCATCCGGTCTTGGGCTTTTCTTGGTTGGAAGTCTTTTGATTGCTTCTTGTATTTCATCTATTGTTATTGGTCTGTTTAAGTTGTGAGTATCCTCCTGACTCAGTCTGGGCAAATCATATGACTTAAGGAATTTATCGATGTCTTCACTATCTTCTATTTTATTGGAATATAGGTTTTCAAAATAATTTCTAATTGTCTTCTGTATTTCTGTAGTGTCTGTTGTGATATTGCCTTTTTCATACCGTATGTTAGTGATTTGAGTTCTCTCTCTTCTTCTCTTCGTTAGCATGGCTAAGGGTCTGTCGATCTTATTTATTTTTTCAAAGAACCAACTTTTAGTTTTGTTAATTTTTTCAATAGTTTCTTTTGTTTCAATTTCGTTGATTTCCGCTCTGATTTTAATTATTTCTTGCCTTCTGCTACATTTGCTGTTGTTTTGCTCTTCCTTTTCTAGGGCTTTGAGATGAAGTGTGAGCTCATTTATTTGTTGGTTTTTCCTTTTTTTGAGGAATGACCTCCAAGCAATGAATTTCCCTCTTAAAACTGCTTTCATTGTGTCCCATAGATTCCGATATGTTGTGTCTGTATTTTCATTTATCTCTAAGAATGTTTTTATTTCCTCCTTTATGTCTTCTGTAACCCATTGATCATTCAGTAACATATTGTTCATTTTCCATGTGATGTAGGATTTTTCCTTCCTTCTTTTATCATTGATTTCCAGTTTCATTCCATTATGATCAGATAAAATGCATGGTATTATCTCCACCCCTGTATATTTACTGAGGGTTGCCCTATGGCATAATATATGGTCTATTTTTGAGGAGGATCCATGTGCTGCTGAGAAAAAAGTATATCCACTTGATGATGGTTGATATATTCTATATATGTCAGTTAAGTCTAGGTTGTTGATTGTGATATTGAGTTCTATAGTTTCTTTATTCAGCTTTTGTTTGGAGGATCTGTCCAATGGTGAGAGAGGTGTGTTGAAGTCACCCATAATTATTGTGTTGTGGTCTATTTGATTCTTGAACTTGAGGAGAATTTGTTTTATGAACGTCGCAGCACCATTATTTGGTGCATAAATATTGATAATTGTTATGTCTTGTTGGTGAATGGTTCCTTTTAACAGTATATAATGTCCTTCCTTATCCCTTTTGATTAATTTAGTTTTGAAGTCAATTTTATTCGATATGAGGATGGCCACCCCTGCTTGCTTACGAGGACCGTGTGCATGGTATATTTTTTCCCAACCTTTCACCTTCAGCCTGTGTATGTCTTTTCCAATCAGATGTGTCTCCTGGAGGCAGCATATTGTTGGATTTGTTTTTTTAATCCATGTTACCAAGGTTTTTCTTTTTAAATGTCAGATTTTTTTTAATATTAAATATAGGCTGAAAAAAATTTCCCTAAATTAATTTTTTTTAAAAAAAAATCACATTTGATAAAATCATTGGCTTATGTTAGCTAAATCTATAATCAACTTATCTTACTTAGTATAATAGCATATTACCTTTTTACACATCAACTCTGCATTGAGAATAACTATAAAAACAAAAACAAAACAAAACAAAAAAAACCTCTATCTTCGAAGGCACCAATCCAGGGCTTGAGGAAGAAGAATCACAAAGATAACATAGAAACAGTGAAATAGATGCAAAATATTCAATGTCTTCACCTATAAGGCATCTGTCATTTTGTAGAAAGAAACTAATAATTTAAGCACCAAGTTGTGATAATAGCTGGTCAGCAGAAACTAACTTTCCACAATTCCATGGAACAGGAATATAAAGTTTTGACCTACCTAGTCAGTGAGGACTAACTAATGTGTTAGAGTCAAAGCAAGAACTTTGAAGTAAGCCCAACATTTGAAAGAACTCTTTAAACTCAGAGAAGTTATTGATTTCTAAGTGGGATAGCGCATATAGATTTAACACTAGGAGACAATGATGCCTCATAGGCCAGGAAATACTGGAAAATTTTCATGAAGTCACAGTAGTGAACAAGGAAGAACATGTGCTTGAGAACACACTAGGTCTTGGGTGTTTTGATAGGGACTTCTTGCAGAGACATTTATACGCACGCTTACACACATAAACATACTCAGGATCCTGCAGTACTAGAAAATGAGTAAGAGAAAATTGGAAATAAACTAGCCTTAACAAAATAGCCAATTTAGCTTTGACCAAACTATATTCCAGAGTAAAATAAATTAATCCATACCTATTCAACCAACATGATATAATTATTTATCAAGAGGAAGGTAAACATATTAGAGTCTTAATTTATCTCTTCTTTATTTTCATTTAAAATGATCAAAATACATATGGGCAAAAAAATTCTGAAACTCACAAAATACTAAAAATATTTCTCTAAATTCAAGGACTCTTCAAACACTAGGTGGGCTAAACCACTGCCAGAATCACCCAAGAAAAACTGTAAAACCCAAGACAGAGAAACATATGAAATCATCAAAAGAAGAGTTAACAGGCACACTTCAAAAAAGTATTTGTGACACCCCCCAAATGATGGCAGCCTACACATAATAAAGTGATATTCAAGCAGAGAAGAAAAAGCTACAAGGCTAGAATTATAAATCAAACCTAATTATCCCTCAAATTAAAGGGTATTAAAAATTAATAAATGGCATTTTAAGAAGATACAAGTTAAAGAGAAATTCAGTGGTTCTGGGCAAAAAAAAAAATGTACACAAGTACATACACAAAGGAATTAAAAGTTAAGAAAAGAATATATGTGAGTATATATAAGAAATAATTTATTGTATGATATACTAATAATGTATTGTTGAGGTTAAAATATAAGCAGGGCAAAAATAAATGAAAATGGTGATAAAACATGAGAGAGGAGATTAAAAAAATAGTAAGGTCCTTATGTCATGCCAAAATTGGAAAAAGTAATACTTTATGTAGAAATTAAATGAAAAAGAGAAGAAACTTTTTTGCAGGGTAAAAAATACAAGAGAAGAAAAGAAAAAGAATGCATATTTAATAAAAATAAAATCAGAAATATTTTTAAAGTCACTTCAGCCAAAAATGTAAGTGAACAAAGAGAAAATATGCAGTTCTTTTCTTATATTTTTAATTTATTAATTTTGTGGACTAATGTCTTTGACTTCCTTTTCACAACTAAATTTTGTAGCATCTACATTATGGAAACCATTTTTATGTTTATATTCTTTGGTATATAAATAAGGAAAGTAAATTCCAGAGACATCAATTCCCTTGACTGTTAAACCAAATTAAGTGACTAAACAATAAAGTTTTATAGCAATAGGGTGTTTTGGTGGGAAGAGGGCTATTTACATTAATCAAAAATTATCTTTTCCTTTTGTTTCCCAGGGTTTATCTCCTTTGCATTTGGAAAAATCCATTTTCTAATACTGAGTAAAATCTGTATGCGATCTTTTGCTCAAAGTACAGTTTTTCTTATGCTGCTATGCAATCACAGAGAAAGCAGAAATGAAGAAATGGGTTTTCTTTTTTTTTTTTTTTTTAGTTGGGAGGTATGCTGAACTGTGGGTATGGAGAACTATGTTAAAGGACATGGTGTTATTTTTGTTATTTTGGTGTCAATGTGAGTAGAGGGTATGGTTCCATAATAGAAGAAAGTAAAGCAGCATTTCCAGTTGATAAGAGGGAAGAAAAATAATACCAACATCACAATTACCTAAATGAATTTTATCAAGCATGGATAACTTTTATCATACCTGTAACTTGTCCTTAAGTTTATTTTACCTCGGACTTTCTGAATAACTTTAGAAGGGCTATCCCAGAAGGAAGCCACATAAGCTGAAATGCAAAAAAACTCACAAAAACAGAAAGGTACTGAATGGTTACTATCATCATCCCCTTCTTAATAGTCAATTTTAATGGTTAAATCCCAGTTGCCAGTGTTCCATTGTGTCCAATGGACAAGACAATTTTACTTTTTATGTAAGGGAAAAGTGATGATGAGGGGTATAGAAAAAAATTCTAGATGTGATTATGAATGACCTTGCAATAGCAAACCAACACACTCTGCAGAATTAATAGCCAGAAAGGATTCAATAGTGAGTCCAATAAGGTGAAAGGGGACTTTGTGAAGAAAGGGAGCTTTGAGGGAGGGAAGGTGACTAATAAAAAAAGGGAGGATGGGCAAGTAGGTTAAACTGAAGTCAAACTACTGTTGCTGTGCCAGACTGTTCATGCTGCTTTTGAAGCTGAAATTTGATTCCCACAAAAATGACAGATGTTTCATCTTAGGCCAACTAAGGGACCAAAAACTGTAATAATTTTATGTTCTGCTGGCTATATAAAAGGTATTTTAACACTAGTCAGGTAGTCAAAGGCAATCAAACATGAATGTTGCAGTTTATTACTAAGTAAATATATATATATATATATATATATATATATATATATATATATTATGCATATATATATATATATATATTTATATTTATATATAATGGAAGGCATCAATAACAAAAACCACATGCATATATCAGAATTTATAGATGGAATACAAGTTACAGAAGATATTTTCTCCATGAAAGTATTAGAGAAGCTACTTAAAAGTAATAATGTAATACCTGCGATTTTATTTTGATTTTCAATTGAGTAAACAGTCATTTGTTTTTAATAATAACATTGCAGTTGAAATATAAATAGTTTATAAGAGTAATAATGAACTCAATCAAATTTGATAATCATCTAACTGATTTTAAAATGAAAGTATTTTTTTTCTAAAAGATAGTTCATTTTCCATTTGCAATGAACTATTTTTTAAATTTTATTTCAACCATAATTTCTATTTTATCACTAACTGCAAATTATTAGTAATGCTGTAGGTAGTCAGTCATTCTTTCCTAACAGTTACATTGAATTAGTGTGTGTGTGTGTGTGTGTGTTTTGACATAGATTCTTACAAACCCTGTAATATTGAATCATTTTATAGCATACCACTGTAGGTTGGGAGCCTTATGTGATCCTGAAGGACCCTCAAACTTTGCATTGAAGAATAGACAGTGAGTACCATAATGAATGGCCATGTAAAGTTTAAATCTAATTTTGTGTGAATTTTAAGCAGCATGATGTGGGTTAAAGGTACAAGTGAAAAATTTGCCATGAACACATATATTTGGAAATCAGTAGTTCTATATAAAAGTGATTATTTTTCTTTTATGAGTCACCTGAATTCTCTAGGTAATTAATCACTCTCAAAATAAACTGAAACACCTTATTTAATAATATATTTTCTTGAGTTTCTTAAACGAACTTTCTGCTTATCTTCTCCACTTCAAAATAAAAAGGATTGGAGACATATTTCAATTCAGTTCAATATAAAGCTACATAATTAAAATTAATTTAAAAAATAAATTTGTAACTTCTATTGGGTAAATGTTCCAACTGCCTATGTTAATTCTATGGTGATCAAGGACAAATTAATTTCTGAACACTCAGGAAACCAAGTAACAAGGAAAATTCAATTGTCTTCTTTATTGCTGTCCTATCTATTAATTCATAAAGCATTAATGAAATATTAAAGTTGTAGTTTTTTTTTTCAAGAGCAAATAAGAAATAAATTAGAGAATTTTAAATAGTTCATTTTGAGTGGTAAAAGTAGAAATAGCAGTTCTTATACAATATGCTTTATTTTTCTACATATTCATAATAAAAGTTATAAACTAAACAAAAGAAAAATGTGAAATAAATGAAAATGTTGTGATACCCTACCTGCATTTATATGGAGAGAATTATTAAACATTCTTTCACAAATTTATATTTTTAATTTATATATACATCTTTAAAATCATATTGAAGTATTGCAAAGCAATACTTTATACTTAACCCATAATTCAGATGACTAGATTTATCTTTGAAGACAGTTTTTCCCTTTGTCTTTTCTCCTAAAATAAATAATAGTAAATGGTAGTAGTAAACAACTTTGGAGATATACCCATTATTGCATCTATGATAGCTAGTCCCTAAAAAATAACTCCCCACATCCCAATGGGCTACTTCTCAAGGATCCATTTTCTTGTGTCATTACATCCCCTTGAATTTTGTAGCACCTATGAATCACTTGTAACAAGCAGAATCTGCAGAATTTAATTGGGCTGTTGTGTGAATTCTAAGACTACTTCAGAAGAAATCTTGCAAATTCTACTTTGGTCTACTGAGACCCTCATCCTTCGACTTTTGAGCCTTGCAGTTCAACAATCCCCTGACCACCATGATGTTAGAAGATCAAGCCACATGGAAATATCCTTAAAAGATAAGATGTCACACAGGAGGTAAAAAGGAGAGAGGAAGTTAAAGTAAGAGGGAGAGAGGAAAAGAGAAATTAAAGTAGTCAATGAAAACTCTAGGGATTTAGACATATTAGTGAATGCCACATAGAATTTATTCTCCAGTCAGGAAATCCACACTGACGACATGTCAGTTAAAAATGAAATGTATACCTGAGCTGTCCCAAAATTCCCAATGTAAAAATTTATAAACAAACTGAAATAATTTGAGCCAAGATTGAACCATATGCACAAGAAAAATGTTAGTGGAAAAAGATACAATGATTTTGAAGAAATTGGTTTTTGGAAAATGATTCCTGAGAGGACACAAACAAGGAGAGTCTTATGACTGCTCCAACTTAAGAGACTAGAAAGAGGTTGTAGGATATGGTATACACAGAGAGAATCAAGGTGGACCCAGTAGTGTCCTTGAGTCCTGGTAATGAAGCTTGGAGTCTTAGGAGGCCAAAAAACCTGAGGTTTGCTGGGCAAAATACCAGAGTAAAGAGAGAACTCTGGAAACCTTCAAGGGATTCCTGTTGAGTCCTTTGCTACACAAAGGTCAACCTGTACATACAAAAACATTATCTGGAGAAAGAGAAAGAACCAACTGAAAGTTTGATTAGAAGGAATCATGTCTATGGTTCACAAGAGCCTGGATACTGTTCTAGTCTTTATCTTCCAGCATGAAAAACCTCAAATGCACAAAGTATTGGATAGAATATTCAAATTTCTCCTCGGAAGTTTAATAATTAGTTGCAGAATAAGGATATATGATACCCCTATGTTTTCTTAATAGAGAAGATTGAAAGTGTTCAAATAACTACATCTCAAAACAAGGTTCAAGAACATTTATAGAAATATAAAAAATATCCAGCAAATATCAAGGTAAAATATACACTGTCCTGCAATGAGGCAGGAAAACATAACTCATAAGGAAAAGAAATCATTCGATTGAAACAGTCCCAGAAATGACACAGATGACAACATTAGTAGGGAAGTAATATATACTCTAACAAGTATATAAGCTCAAGAAGATAAAGGAAAAATAAAAGCATATTAAATACAGGCATGCAAGATATCTTTAAAAAGATCCAAATTGAAATCGTAAAGAAAAACCCATAACATCTGAGTTAAAAAAAATCTTGGAGGAGATTAAAAGTGTATTAGGCAATTCAGAATAAAAAAAATAGTTAGCTTTAAGATAAAGCAATCAAAACTATCTCAAATACAGTACAAAAAGAAAGTAGACAAAAATAAATGTGGCATCAGTGTGCTTCGAGATAACTTTAAATGGTTTAAAGTAAATACAATTGGATTCTCCAAAAGGGGGATGGCGGATGATAAAAAAAAAGATGATGAAATTTGACAAAAGCTATAAATCTGCAGTTCTCAGTTTCAACAAACCACAAACATCAAAAATAAGAAGAAAACTATGCCAAGGACAAACAAGACAAACTGCTTATATACAGTCACTAATATCTGGTTTGGTTTATTATGTAGCTATAGAAAACTGAAATGTCATCCCTGATTTTTTAAATAAATTCCTAAAATCGGTGATATAAATTGCAAGTGAATTAAAATCCTTAGGCTGTCACTATTTCCAAATTGCCCTTTAAGAAGTTTGTTACAATTTATCTGACCAATAAATGTGGGAAAATGTGCTAGTTTCCTTGTTGTGTTACTCACTTTATTTCATCTTAAGAGGCATTATCATTTGTGTTTAACAGATTCAGCCTTTGTGTTAGATTTTTAAATTCATCAAGTTCAACTTATAATTTTTATATCTTTGGGAGAATTATATAACTTGTCTGTGCTTCTTATTTTTCTTCTTTCTTTTTCTTTTCTTTCTTTCTTTCTTTCCTGCTTTTTTTTTCCTTTTTTTTTTTGTACTAGGGATTTAGGGATTGAATCCAGGAGTGCTCAATCATTGAGCCACATCCCCAGCCCTTCCTTGCCCATATGCATGCATGTATGTATGTATATGTGTATACACACACACACACATATTGAGGCAGAGTCTCACTAAGTTTAGGGCCTTGCTAGGCTGTTGAGGCTGGCTTTGAACTTACAATCCTCCAGCCTCAGTGTCACAAACTGCTAGGATTACAGGCATGAACTATCATTCCTGGCCTGTTTCTCATTTCTTCAAAGGGTTGGGTATTCTATCCATCTCATCTGGTGGTTGTTTCAGGACATGAGATTTCACATATAAACACATGGTACATAGAAAGCACCAAATAATATTATCTATCAGGTTACTCACATTTGCAATCTATTTTCAACCTTGTTCTGTTCTTTTTGCTCTATTTGTTTTATTCTTTGATCATTTTATTACTATTATTTTGATTTAGTCATAAAAATAGGAGAATGCATATGATAAGATAATTAAGTATTTCTTTTCAGGATAAGATTTATGGGCATGTGAACACAGTGGTTTCATATAGCCCCACTTGTACTTAGAATTGAATGCTCTGAGAAATTTATGAAACTATATAATTGAATTTTATGTTTGATAAGTATTTTGTTTTGTATAGTCCAATTGGAAAGTGGGTCACACACTGGAATCTGAGAGCCTCAGTTCATGTTCAGTGTATACCCATTTTCCTAGGTGTGGCTACAGTTGTTTAGTCACTTCCCTGATTCCTGGCACCCAGTTTGCCCAGACTCTATCTCCATTCAAATCAATTCTACCCTTCAGCCATGATGGTAGCTGGGACAGGCACAGGAAGCATTAGTGTCTTGTGTTTACAGTCTATATCATCTCAAGGCAGAGCAGGTGCAGAATCACTTCACCGGGACTGGTTATGCCATGCCATATCCAGCAGACAACTCAGTCACAGACATGATGCCCAGAGGCAAAGATCACCCCTTGTCTATACACTTAATGTGTTGCAGAACAAATGTTGCAATATACATTAAGTTTGCCTGTTAATTATGGACTGAAGCAGTTGCTATGGGCTGTAAGTTAATGGAAAGGGGAAATATTTTCTCAATTTTCTTTCCCCAAGTGGGAAATGGACCATTGAAGTGTTGGTTTAGTAAGAGTGCTAGAATGTGCAGTCATGAGTGTCTGTATTTGTACATCAGTATTCCCATATGTGAAGAGCATGCTCTTCCTCTTCCATTGTTACTGAGTTTGGTTTTTGTTTGTCTTTTATGGGCAACTTTAGGTACTGTGTGGTTGAGCCAAAAAATACAGTGTAATATTGATAATTTGGTAAACAAGTGTGCTGATATTTGCATTTGTAAATTGAATTTTAGAATGTAAGTTATGGATGTTTCAAACTTTTTATTCCTTTTTTTTTTCCTTGAACAACATTTAATGGCAAATAAAAACATAACGAACATAGAAAAACATGAGAGAGGAAGATTTATTTATTTATTTAGTAACATTAATGATACATTTTCTCCATATAATCCTAGATAACCACCCTGTCTTAAATTCTGTAACCTTGGTGCACTGCCCAGGGCCGGTGGTGGGCGCGGGCGGGCGGAGCCTGCCCCGCACCTGCAGGGGGCAGCGGCCGAGGCCAGGCCCTTGTGTCGACAGCTCGGCATCCCTGCCCTCGCCATTCTTCGTGTCGCCGGGGTGGCGGGCCGACCAGTGGGTGGCCAAGAAAGGCGGCCGCCATTCCCGTGTCGCTGTGCCCGCGGGGGCCGCCCGAGCCGGCCAACATGCCTCTGGGCCCGAAGCCCAACTGCAGCGGCTGCAAGACCACGACGTCCTCCATGTGGAAGAAGGGCCCGCAGGGGGAGATCCTCTGACACCACTGCACGGGCCGGGGCGGCGCGGGCGGCGGGGGTGCCGGCTCGGGGGCGGCCGGCGGAACTGGGGGCAGCGGTGGCGGGAGCTTCGGGACACCGACCTTCGCCAGCACCTCGGCCGCGCCCCCGCAGAGCAACGGGGGCGGGGGCGGCAAGCAGAGTAAGCAGGAAATTCACAGGAGGTCTGCGCGGCTCAGAAACACTAAATACAAATCTGCTCCAGGGGCTGAAAAGAAAGTTTCTGCTAAAGGAAAAGGGAGAAGACATATTTTTAAATTAAAAAATCCTATCAAAGCTCCTGAGTCTGTTTCTACCATAATCACTGCAGAATCAATCTTCCACAAGGGAGTGTATTACCAAATTGGTGATGTTGTTTCTGTGATTGATGAACAAGATGGAAAGCCTTACTATGCTCAGATCAGGGGTTTTATCCAGGACCAATATTGTGAAAAGAGTGCAGCCCTGACATGGCTCGTTCCCACTCTCTCCAGCCCTAGAGACCAGTTTGATCCTGCATCCTATATCATAGGGCCAGAGGAAGATCTTCCAAGGAAGATGGAATACTTGGAATTTGTTTGCCATGCACCTTCTGAGTATTTCAAGTCACGGTCATCACCATTTCCTACAGTCCCCACCAGACCAGAGAAGGGCTACATATGGACTCATGTTGGACCTACTCCAGCAATAACTATTAAGGAAACAGTTGCCTACCATTTGTAGTTACAAAATTAAGACCAGGGCTGAGGATATAGCTCAGTGGTAGAGTACTTGCTTAGCATGTTTGAAGCCCTGGGTTTGATTCCCAGCATTCAAAAAAAAAAAAAAAAAAAAAATTAAAACTGGATTTCCAGTTTTCATCTATCATACTACTATGAGATATACATGTGTTCCTTTCATGAAATTTTTACATGGAAAAATGACAAAGTTTTTTCCCCTAAATACCCAGTAATCATTAGCTTGTTTATTACCTATTACTTAGAAAATTACAAGGGATAGAAAATAATGAAATATATTTGAAGGTAAATATTACATTTTGTATGTATATCCTCCCAGGCAAAGGCTACACAGTTTCCTGGGAGACCATTAGTAACAGGTATGACTATTTTTCTTCATAATTTATTGTTAGTAGCTCATAAAATGAATTCTATTTTTATATAAGTAGTAGTTAAGTTTTAGGTTTCTGATCAAGAGCTTAAATGTATCTGTGATCCATCAATTGTATGTGTCATAAAGCCACACAAAACGTATTTCCTCATCAAGAAAATGCTGTGACAGACTTCGGACAGCATTAACTGTAAGGAGTGATTCCTAGATGATTTTATTAGCCCAGACTTTTTTTAAATTTTATGTGATTTTTTTGTAGCAAATGGTTTTTTGAAACCATTCAGTTGTTCTCAATAGAGCTGCTCTTCACTGTCTCATCTACCTTCTCTGTCAAACAGAGACTTAAGGTCAAACCATAGACTGCAGTGCAGATGTCACCTTCACTAGAGCACCCAGAAAACCTGTGCTGCTTGGGCAGTCATAAAAGTGATTGGTAGGCCATTAAATGTCTACCCCAGCTTAAGCCATCTGCCATGGACTCCTAATAGCATGCTTTGGAAGGTCTGCTGTGTATGCTTCAAGTGCAAATCAGTTAAGTAAGGGAGTGACAAATGTTGGGGGTGGGGGGGAAATGCTTATCTCCTCTACCCTGATTTGATCATAATGATTGTAACTGTGGCACCTCTCACCCTTACCCTTTTTCTATACAATTACTGTTTTATGTTGAGAACAGGCACTGTAGATGGCTCTATGCATATGGTCATCTCTCTGTTCGCAAAAGTTACAGTAAAATTGATTGTAAATAACATTGAAAATAGTTTTCTAAATGCTGGTAGTCAAAACTTTTGGATTAAAATGTATTTTTCACAAAAAAAAAAAATTCTGTAACCTTAATACCACCTTCAAGGTCACTTTGGGCACATAACATAGCCTAGTTACAGACATGATGCCCAGAGGCAAAGACCTTGGAAGCCAGGATTCTGCCTACCACAAGCATTCCACCCTAAACTAGTAAACTTATTCTCACGTATACCAAACAAGTAAGGACCTACAGGAAACCAAACCAAATCATGATGATTAAATGTATTCAAACATGGGACATAAAATAGAGGAAAAAGTGGGATAATATATGTTTTCAAGTTATTTAAGAGCATTTATCTTAGCTAGATTTTTAGCAGAGATATTGTGGCAAAAGGTAAGGTTAAACTTAATTGCAAAAACCAAGATCCTAGATATTCTCAGAGATCCATATGTTTTATGTAGCTGATATCCAAATGCAAATGTTGATGTCCCATTGTGCCTTAGAAATTGTTGACCCATATTCACAAAGTGAGATCATACATACAACACTGTGCAGAAGTAGAGAACCAATTATGTTTGCTATCTTTTGAATTTTGTTAAATGTTTGAGGGTGCCAAGATCAAAGAATAGGGGAACCTAGAACTCACCTACTTCTCCCAAAAATGAACCAAAGGGGAAGATGTACAGCTGCATTTTGAGGTGAATTAGCATGTGAGAACACTAAAACTCAACAGCAGAAAAATGGAAACATTGTAAGATTCAGATACCTGGGACAACAGCAGAAGAAATAACATATACTAGCCCATGACACTCCTGCTCCAGCGCTGGGGGAGGGGGAGTCTTTCTTCTGCAGGAATAAGGCTCAAAAGACAGTCCCAGCAAAAAGTCAGCACAGATGATGGCAATGCAGCTATCAGAAAATTTTAACCCTTACATGCTTGCAATGAGATAAGTAACTTAAAATGTATAGCAGCCTTGCTTTGGAAAAGGATTTTATATCAGCTCGCAGCAAACTCTGAGGTTGCTATATAGTCAGGACCATCTTGAGAAGGGACATATTTTCTGAATTTAGACTGTTCTGGAGGCCAGAAACCCCTGCATATTTACATTTTTAAAACCCACCACCACCATCACCACCACAGGAGACTTTCCAGGGTATTCTCTCAGTGAGTAACTGCTTTATGAACCAAACCTGTCTCAGGAGTGACTTGGACTTAAACGTGCCCAGTCTGAGGCACTATTGGGAAGAGCTGCTACAACACAGATAGAAACAGAAGGTGCCAATCTAAAAAAACTGGGAAGATTGTCCTCATGATAGGGCATGGCCAGTTGCATGCAAGTTTACATTAGTGCCAGGACTCAACTGCAGGCACCCATGGAATTCCCTCCACTCCTCTTCCCAGCATAACACAGGGGCAACTGTCACCAACCTGGTGTGGAAAGAACTCTGTGGTCACATTGATGCTCCTCACCTAGAGGCAGGTAGGAGTAGTCTCAAGCAATGCCTCAGTTCTGACTGTCATCCCTTCTCAAGAGTTCAAATGGTCCTAAGACAGCCTGTGCCAGCCATGTTTCACACTTGCTCATTGCAGCAAGAATTTCAGCTGACAGGAAATTTGCCCAGCTCCAGATGCAACCCATTCCTGCTTGATTCCTGGCACGTACTATATAGTCGAAATGGAGGTGGGGGAGAATCCTGAACTTCAGCCCCCATTTCTAAGACATACAGGATCCTGAGGTCTTGCTCCTGGGTATACATGCCCACATGGTAGAAGAGAGGAACATGGTAACTATTTCTACAACCACAACAAATGTGGTTTCCAGCAGTGACCACACTCATACCTTGTCTGATCATGCACTGCTGATAAGACTTCTTGTGTGCACCCTAGAGGTACTGTGATGACTGTCCCAACTTTCTCTCCTGTCACATAGGCTCACACCATTATCTAATTAGAAGGTGTAATTCAGACTTCTTACCACCACTGGTGCAATATCAACAGTTCCTAAGGAAGCCCCCAATTTCTAGAGGTCATCATTCCCTTTTTAGAAGTAGCCACACTGGTAAAAGTCAAACAATCTCCTCCCTATATCACACCTCTCTGTACTGCTGGAGTGTCATCACTCTTGCATGACCTGCAAAGATGTTGGGTCTCTCCATCATTGATAAGGTTTACACTGTACTCACATTCATTAATCATAGCCAAAGAACTAGTGGTAGATTATCCTATAGTGGCTAACTGGAAATAAATTTAACATTGCATAACAAACCAATAAACAAAGAAACATCTTCAGGGTGTAACTAAGAAAACAATCCTATAAATATTTGTAGATAGATCTAATGCATAGATGTGGAAATATTAACATAGAAATGCAAGAAATATTTAAAAAGGTAATATGCTTCCTCCTAAAAACATAATCTAAAATGTTAGATTTTTTTAAAAGAAAAACCAAAATGCATAAAATCCCTAATAAATAATCTAAAATAATTATTTTTAAACATTTTAATGAGAATTTTGATAAACTGTTAAATGAAGTTAGAAATACAATGCAAATATGTAATGATATTGAGAAAAAACAAATAAAATATTAGAAATGAAGAATCATTAAAGAATTTTGTTTAAAAAGATCAGTAGAAAGCTTTAACAGACTAGATCATGTGGAAGATAGAATCTCAGAGCTTGAAGATAGGTCTTTATTTTTTCTGAGATGCCCTACTAAGTAAACTTTTACAATATATGGTAATGTGATTTATTGTGACATATTTGTACATGATCATAAAATAATTTGATGTTTCACTCACCAGTATCTCTGCTTTTGCTCTTCTCTCCCTCTGATCTAATCTTCATTCTACTGGTCTCCTTTCTATTTTTATGGACTGCTTTTTAAAATCTCTCTCTCTCTAGATTCCACATATGGAAGAGAACATATGACCACTGACTTTCTGAATCTGGTTTATTTTATTCAACGTGATGATATCCAATTCCATCCACCTTCCTGCAAATGACATAATTTCATTCTTCTTTATGGCTGAATAAAACTCAATTGTGTCTACATACCACATTTCCTT